ATTCTCTTTTCCCCCTCCTTGCTCTGCCCTCGCCTTCTCTGCTTTCTCAGTAGATGGTTTTCTGGCAGATGATCCTTTTCTTCTTCTACTATAGCACCCGAAAGGAAGTAAAGTGCATTGGAAGTGATTCCACTTCTTAAGTGGTATCGGAATTTTACTCATCAACTTCGCCACGATCGGAAAGGGAAACTGTTGCATTAACCGCGATTGTGGGTGGGATGAAATCAAGGAGGTTTCAACGAGCTGTAAAATAAACAACGTAGCTGTTTAAAGCCGTCTCATGAGCACTCAACAGCTATCATTTTTTCCTGTCTAATTCCATGTAGCGTTTAATGCATCACTAAATTGAGACCTTAGTCGGGGGTGTGTGCAACTCTAAGCAGGATGATAAATGGCTGAAATGCATAGTTTGTAAGACAAGGAGTGCAGTGGCTGCTGTTGCTATGAAGTTCTTCAGAAACCCATAGTGGGAGGGGGAGATAGGGGTTGGAAAGAATCCAGGCACACGACATTCAATCTATCCCGATTAGAAACTATCTTCACTAGATTTAACACCTTTCAGTAACACTATCGTCCCACCCAAGTCACCCAAGGACAATCTGACGATTGAAATCATCAGTCGACAGAATCAGACTAGCTCCTGCTAGCGTCCTAATCATATCAAGCGCGCTTAACGCAAATATGCAGTCACGACGGGTTTTCTGACTTAGGCGGAGCTTGGCACCATAGGGCGCCTTCGTCGGGGCGAAGGGTGTGGCCGTACTAGTGCTGGGTGTCTTTCAACAAGAAACTCTGAACCCTCAAGTGAAGAGGACCGTTACGAACCGGTTCTTCTCGCCTGAGACAATTGCTGCCTGAGTGCTCGCCTGATTGATTGATGCTGGTTGTTGTTGTTGTTGTTCGCTGGCTAGCTTTTCAGCTGAGGACGTTGTTTATTGAGTTGGCTGAGCGACTTATTCAACTAGATTCTCCTAATTCTCATTCCACTCATGGTCGAGTACGATATTCCTTCGTTTGAAAAATGGCCATGGATTTTTCGATAGATTTTTCTCTCCAATATTTCCATTTTCAAGCGATTTTAGTCGCTAATGGCTCTTTCGTTCTATTCACTGAAGTTTCCGCGACCCTTCGACGGGTGTTTTTTTATTATGTCAGGCTTTTTTCTCGACCGGCAAATGCCCCAACCCTTTCCCAGTCGTCGACTGCAAATGGTGCCACTTGGCCTCTTTGGTATTCAAGAGCAGTTTGGCAAAGAAGCACTGGGATAAAAGGGTCTGATGACAGCTGACTAGGGAACACATGAATTCACTCAACGACACCGAATCCCATGGGAATTGAAAAGATGAACAAGAAATCACCAAGCGCCAATGAGCGTTTTTATGTGTGAAAGGTATTCGACTTCCATTCAAAGTCATGGTCCCTCTTTGAGCAATACGTACCCACAGTGAACCATCGAGGGCGACTTATCATCTCGGAGGGATCTGATAGTAGAAGGGTCAGCACAGGGCTCCAGTTCCCATGTCCTCCCTGGGCGAAAGCTAATGCTAGATGTAATATAACTGATCCAGCAGGGCATTTAGGGCCAAAAGAGCTAAGATTTTAGTGGGAAAAGGTTAGAAGTGCCTGGCCCTTAGATCTTTGATTAGGAATTTACAGGGTAACCACCAGTTCGGGTACTTGTGGAAAGAGTGACGCTCTTCTGAGAAGTTCAGGGCATCGGGATCAACGGTTACGTCTCACATCACATATGTGAGACACCTGGCCAAACGACATATGTTATTTTTGCCGTGAATCAATGAGAAATCGCCAACAGCGAGCCGCCCTTCTTGTCGAGAGGCCAGAGTTCACTCCAATGGCGGGGCACTCCCCACTTCATCAGAATGCTCAGTAGAAAAATAGATACCTGTGGGAGCATGGAGAATGTTGGGACCTTTTCCATTTGATGGGAAATGTTGGGACCTTTTCCATTTGATGGGAAATCAATGTCATTCTCTAAAACGAAGAATAGCGGGAAAGTCACGGACTACAAAAATGAATGACATCGATAAAGTATGTAGGACTTTTGGCAAAAGAGTTTGGAGGTATGGGGAATTGAACCCCAGACTTCTCGCATGCGAAGCGAGCGCTCTACCCCTGAGCTATACCCCCGCAATGCAGTGGTTGTGCACTGTTTCTACCATAGAAATCAAACAAATCTTTCGCTTCTACTCCGCTTCCAACATGAATGAGCTTCTCCATTTTGGGTTTTTAGGTATGCTGACGGGCTCGGCTTATTTCCATGCAAATCTCATTATTATGGAGAACTTTCAAGCGAATTTGATGAGGCAGTCTCTTCCTGAATGACCTCCTGCTGTACTATCGCGACTTGCTAACTTTAGAGTCCTTTCCCTGCTTTCTTTGTTGGCTCTGTCATTGCGTAGGTAGGGTGAATAATTGTTTTGGGAGTTCCTGATTGTTCTTCCCGCAGCAAAGCCCTGTTTTCAATGGAGTACCTTTTTTCTGGAGCTGCAAACGCATTCTAGCGCGAGCGCAAGATTTCAACGATTTCGCGTGAGCAGTCACACGCTCGGAGCCGATGCGTCGGGGGCCGAGCCAAGGGTAAGTAAATCCCTTCTTCACGTGCACCGCCCATTGAAATTGATTGTCCGTGGCGGAAAATTTGAAGCAGATGGCTGAACGTAGTCGAAGGCTCAAATGTTTGCCAACGCTTTGTAGGCCTCCGTCGCCGCCATCGCCGCCGCAGCCTTCGACGAAGTCGACAACGACACGACGAACCATCTCGTTGAGTCTCCTCCATCTTCACCACTGGCTGCAATGGTCGACGGCTTAGCGCCAGGTCTTTGTGCCGGTTGAGCGTTCGCACCGCCACCGTTTTTCACACAAGCCTTTCTCTCACTCACACAAAAAGGGAAGCTTTTCACCATTCTGAGTTTTTCTTTTGCTCACGTTTGCTGCTTACTGTAATTATTGTACCTTTCTTCTAACAGAAAGATTATTTTCTATGCTCCAACAATATTTTTTCGTTTTGGACAGGAGCTCCCAAACTAAGCTCCTAATTATTCGCTTCGCTCCAATTCCTTTTCGTCTTTTCACGATTTTTTTTTTCAATTTTTTAAACAATTATTGAAAATGTGAAATGTGGACGAGCTGTTTGCATCTTTTAAGAACTTTTTGGACATCATTCGAATTCTTCAAATGGTTCCGTGGGAATCTGAGCTTTCAAAAGGGTGTCCGCGCGTTAGCATTTGGATCAATTGCTACTGCTTGTGCTCCTTCTTCTGAAGCAGGACGACCCTCAGAGGCAATATGGATCATGTTCTGGCTCTGATCCCTCAGCACGTTGCTAGTGCCCCTCCCTCCTCACCCTTGGAGGCAGAAACGGTACTGCGGTAGATGGATCGTTAACGAACCTTCAGAAGAAAATGGTTTTAATTACAGTTTCACACAGCCATTAGGCCCGAATCGTACTTGCCCTCTTTTGGGGAACTTGCTTCTAACGTCCTTAAGCGAGCCGAAATCTCACATCCACTCCTTTCGTTTATGACTAGTTTGCCGCAACAACTATAAAATGAATGTTAACGATCGTCGGCGACGGTTTTATGACATAAACATGGCCCTACAACCGTGTAGGCGTGGCCCCATTGCTGGTATCTTAGTAGAGAACATCATCTCTATACTTAGTATGTCCTAAGCGGTTTCACTCTCCTTATGGGTTCTCTAGGATTTTAAACCCATTCAATAAGTTATGTGGTGGTAGCTGGAACTTGACAAGAAATTCTCCTTTGCATCCCACCTTTCCCATCACGTTGGCAACATTACGGAAGCACAGTTCTACAGTAAACCAGCTATGAATCTTGGCACGAAACTCTGACCATAGCCGATTAGGTGTAGTCCAGCTAGGCCTTTTGTCGATACAAAATGTGAAGGATTGAGAAACGTGTATTCAAATGAGATTACGCCATGGAATTGAATAAGTTTTCCGTGAACGGTTCAGCGTCCAATGCCTGAAAATCACTCTCGACTTCCCCGTGATCATGCTCAACTTTCCCGTGAATTGCTAGATCCTTCCGGATGAGACATATGGCACGTGGCGACACTTTTGTTGAGATTTTAGGTCAAAATGTAGTTGGAGGGGGACGGGCGTCCTCTTCTCCGATAGTAGACACTAGAGCATAGTGAACAAGAGGTGGGCCACATTGATGCTCTGTGAGTAGGAATAGTGTGGTAGCACGGTACAGCTCACCCTTCTGGAAAGAAATCTGTGGTCAAGATTGGTAACGAGGAAATTTCGCATGACTACGAATCTGGTGGACTGATAAATTGATGATAAAACCTTGTAATTTCGTCCCATTAGGAATCTATCTACACATTGGGAACACTTCAACAGCCTTTCTTTCATCCTGCAAACAATTTTGTCGCTTTCAAAGTTCCTTTCTGAGTTACCACCACATCAATAGATCCCCATCAGAATTCTCTCCATTCACAGGTTTTGAAAAAGTTTTGTTTAAGGCACAGCCCATTATAAATATGGTTTCTGATATCCCCCCTAGGATCCATCTATGGCACCCAGATAGCACGTGGGACATTGTCAGTCGAAAGAGATCTGAACAGTACATTATTAGGGCTCAGAAACCATCTCTTCGACGTACACACCCAAAAGTGGCCGTGTTATAGTCTTGCAAAGACTGCACCATTCACAGTAAGGCGTTAGGTCGTTGACGAAGAACAGGCTCATGTGAGAGAACCCAGACGGTTATAGACGATCTCGTACAACCCCTTTTCGACTACTTCTATAAAGCCTTTATTTTTTAAAATCCGTCAACTTTTACACTTTCTTCGCCACTTTCCACTATTTTAAATTACAGTTTCCATTATTTTGCTCCAGCTTAATTAGATCTTAAAAGAGGAACACAGAATTAGGCAAACGCTATTATTACAAGCTTTTATAAAGTATTATTACAATTCTCACTAGATATTACTTATTATTATTGATGCATAGCTGTCAATACCTCGCGATCGTTGTTGTCTGCTATTCTTCTGCTCTTTGCATAGTATTTCGATGTTTTATTCGGTTCGCTTTTGCTTTTCGTGTTCTCGTTGTTCACTGCTCACTCGAATCTCGTCTGTCCCCCAGTCGTTGTGTGCTCAACGACGAACGCCTCAACAAATACTCTTTCACGCCAGCTTCTATTCAGCACGTGCTTTTCGATTTCGTTTTTTCTCGCCATTGCCGTCAGCTTTTGCTATTTCGCTTCGTTTTCCACTCCGTACACTTATTGTCGAGGATCGAAATGCACTGTTTGGCTTGCGCTCCTCGACATAAGTGATGTTTGCTAACTGATTTGTGCTATGTTGCAGATCATACGCAAACACAAGAGAACATTATAGTTGAAGAGCCGATTGGCTACAGTCCAACAACAAGATCACCCAAGAAAGGTGAGTTTTTCAGGTGCTTAAAAGCCTAGAATGAAAAGAAAAATTGAGGAAAATACTGTAGCGGATCGGTGATCGTTTGCAGTACCACCCTGTTTGGTAACTCTGTGAGCTGTTTTGTTTTCATTCCCTCGGGTATTTGGGATCCCGAACACTCCCCGCTCACCCGCTCGAAAGGACCGATGATGTCTGCAGCCGTTACTGGTCTCATGCTCCATTGTAATCAACCGAAAACCGTATTTCCCACATGGTAGCGGGAAGTGCGCACGTGCGATTTGTTGCGATGGACGGGAGGGTCTAGTCCTGTAAGGTTGGGCTTGTCACCCTGTTCAAAGGTTTTTCCCTGCTCAGCCGTACAGGGCTGAATCCTCCCGCTCATCGCAACAAATCGACTAGACTGGACTTCTGTACCTTTTCAGTAGATTATTTTCGGACCAGTGACTGATCACGAAGCTGCGTGATCTGTTGTGTTCTGGGATCTCGGGCTCATGTATGTCAATAAAGAGCCCGAATATTGGCACAGCCTGCAGCAACGGAGAGATTAGATTTACACAGGAGGAAATATCACCTATGTCACCCGTCGACCCGTTGATCATCAATTTCCTCGAGGGGCGTCAGTATAGCTCTCCATTCGTCCTTGTTGCGAGCCAAAGTGGACCAGTGGATCGTCCTCGCTCCAGAGACATGAGATGTAGCATTCCTTTCGTTCAGGGCTTTTGTAAAGAAGTCTGACCATTGCGCTGGTGGCCGTCTTGGTGTTCGTTTGACACCCCGAGGTATCCCCTCAGTTAACGCCCTGCTGCAGCGATCATCACAATGTCGCCCCATTTGAACTTCGACACAATGGTCTAAGCAACGGCCTCTCTGGTCTTCGTTCGCTGAGGGTACTAGGAACTTGGGACTCCCCTTTGCACATCCATGTATAGGCGAGCTCCGAGCATCGCCTTTAAAAAACTCCTTCGATCGCGGACTGGGGCGTGCCAGCCTTGTTTTTGAAATTTCCCATCAATGGAACTTTGACGAAACGAGGTTAATTGCACATTCAGTGTTTACGGGCGGCTGGACGGGTCCCTTGTCTAACCGGTTTCGGCCAGTTCGCTTCGAATGGATTTTTTACGCTAACAAGCGGTTTTTTCATTCCCTTTCCTTGCTTTCTCATATCCACAAAGGGGAATTTTTCTTCGATGGGAGAGCACCTTCCGATTCAGAGCCACAGAGGAGCATCTCCCGTCAATTTTGATCAAGTTATTCTCGCTGTTAGCTTCAATTAAATCAACTTAGAAGTTCGAAATAAAATCAACCTTTCCAGGAGGTTGAGTAAAAGAAACCCGCACCTTTCATGGCCTGACCGAATACGATCTTACGCAACCAAGAACTTGCGCCTATCTTTGGTGTTTTCCACCGAATACTGACCACCTACATACCTTCTACTTAGAAGAGTGAGGTTACTTAGAGTGAGGTTTAAGCTCAAGTTTGAGTTTATGGCCAACAAAAAACCATCCGTGCGGGCCGAGTTGATGGAGTGCTCGCTTAGCAATCACTCCGCTTCCAGTGCTCCCTTGACGAAGATGAAGGAGGGAAACACCTGGAGTTCGCACCGGAAACCTCACCTACTCAATTCAAATTTCACATAAACATGAATCTGGTTATCGTGGTGAGCGTAGACGCCTCCAGAAGTTCGTTTTCATTCCGAAACTGGTAAAATAATGCTTTGGCAAAGTGGGACTTCCGTATTTCATCGACTGCTGGGCGTGGGACACGATAGATGAATGGCTAAAACGATTGATGAAGTTGTCGGCAAGGTGATCAGCTGTTCCAGGCTTTTTATAAGTCCAACTCTCTCGGAGTGAGTGATAGCACAGGGTTCATCAGGATAAATGTCGACGCACCCATTTGCCGGAAACCTATTGGTTCATCGGCCTACCGGACATTTCCCCACTTTAAGGGTAAACAGCGCGAAGGGTAAACACTTTAGGAGTAAACATCGTATTTGAATAACAGATTTGCATGAAAACGAATATGAGGTCTGACCCTGGTATTTTCATGACCTTCTTATCGTTTCAGATCTCACTCCACCATCGCTTACTAAAGAAGAGAAGCAACCCGACGGCGATCATAACGGCATCGACGTCAAAGACGATAAAAAGGCTCGCCCAATCCCTATTGAGGTTGGAACTACAACGAATGTCTTTTTATTGGTATTAATTGTCGGGTTCCGGGAGTTCCCACCGATACATCCAAGTGAACGCCCTCACTACTCGAGTGATGCTACCCTACAAATTCCTTTTTCTCTTTAATGATCCGGCAGCCTGTTCTTTGATAGTATTCTCTTGGGACTCGGTAAATTTAGCCGAAACGATGATCTTTGAAGGCTAGTGAACCTCAGGGTCTCAGAGGGGTCGTTCTTCTTCCCGCCCACCTCCTGTATTTCACTCGCTCGGCTGCGTTGGCACTAGTTTTTTGTTCTACGGTAAAGTGTCCCAAAAAAGGTTGTGTTATAAGCAACATCTTTCTGAACCATCTTTTTTTGAAGCGTCGTCGAGATCCCGTGGGGCTCATCAACTACGCATGTTCAGAAGAAGGTTTTCAAAGTGTTCATAGCCGTTTATCTGTTCTGATCTCTCGAAAAGGCTTTTGATTGCCTCTGTGGTGTTCAACAACTCAGAAAAGCCACCTCTCCATTTTACCCTTGGAACAGCTCTTTAGCAGTTTCTAGTGACATTTTTTCCGGTGTGGGTGGGCGAAGTCAAGTTTTAATTGCTGGGAGTTGACGATTTATTCCGATCATTCACATTAGATGAATGCGGTCAGGTTTATGTCCCCCACTTAGGACTTCGCGATGAGAAACGAGGTCATCCAGTCATTCAGCTCGTCGACGGGGAGAAAATTTGTAAAAAACGACAAAGTGATTTGGCTACACAAGAAATATGGAGGGAGTATCGTCATGTGGGGCCGTTGGATTCCTTGAATGGAAGACCTCCGTTATCCTCGTAATGTGCCTAATTTGCAATCAAATGCTACCGCAAATTCGAATGGGAGGCAAATACCAAGGCGAATCCCAGAGTTACCGTAAACGATAATTTTCATAGTATTTTGATTGTAGACTCTTTTATCCTCAATAATTCATTACAATCTGATAATATCTGATCATACTTTGCTCCTGTTGATGATACTGTTTGACAGCAAGTCGAAACGGTAAAGAAAATTTGGTAGGGGAGCATAGAAGCACCGCACAATCTGGCTTTCCAGAAAGATCGCTGAGGTGAAGAATCTGAGAAGCTCTCTACAATAATGGTAGTACTTACTCAAAGATCTGTCACCACTGGCAGGTCTTTCCCATTCACTTGACAAGCGTCTGAACGGAGACCCAATTTTGTATGATTTCAAGACTTAACTGTCACTCTACGAGCATTGCTCACTCACACGCTCAGGATGGACAATTTAGATAGAGCAGTTGAGCTTGCCTATATAGTGAAGTTCATTTCCTCCTAACTGAAAATCTGATCCGTTCATTAGAAAATAGGGAGATATCGGGGCTTGAGCTCTCTTCCCCCTCTTTTCTAGTCTACGTACTCGAATCGGCTCCTAACTCAGGGGAAGCGGTCATTCGTTCCAAGCCTGCGTATAAAATTCCCTAACCGAAATTCCCGAAAAAACCTGCTCAGTAGGCAATCACTTGCTGTAGTATCGATTGGTACCGTATTTTCAACTACCTGTCATAGCCACGATAGTAATGACTAAAAATAAACATCGATCGTAAAGTTGTAAGAGGCAATTGAAGGGTAAGAACCACTTGAAGTGATGGTGTAAATATCATTGACACAGAGGCGAGCTCACCCTCCATCCTTTCACCTAATTTTCTTTTTCTCAATTTTTACTTGAAGTTTCCGTTACTGTCGATTGAAGTAATGAGTTGAGTCATTTGTTTTCACTTACGTTGGCCGAATTACTCGTAAACCTGCTGTGTAGTTTTCGAACAAGGGTTAGGGCCAGGCACCCACGTTAAGTCCCATGTTCTTATGACATTTTGCCAAAACAACTCTTTTCAGGACGCAGTCAGTGTCGAAAAAGAGCCAGTGGATTATCAGAGGGCTAAAGAAACCCATATAGAGAACGACCCCCTCGCAGTGGAACTTCTTGAAGAACTGGACGTATCAGTGGAACCTACTGTGGCAGAGAGCGAAGCCTTGCAGCAGAGTATACCAATGGAACACGAACCGTACTTGATCAGTCCTAAAAATGGAATACCGAGTAAGCTCGACGATGAACACTTGGACACTGGACCGAAGCCATCAGATAGGCTGAAGAGTGCTGAGAGTCGCGAGGACGAGGAGTTCAGGGAAGCAGAGCGTCGAGCGGAATTGGAACTGGACAGTGAGCTCGTCATTCATGATAATGGAGCGGCTCCGGCTGCTAAAGAGAATGAGGTGAGTGCTTTCCCTTTTAAAAGCAAGACAGAACTTTAATGCTGCTAAGAACGCAGTAGTAAACGCTTCAAACTTCAAAACCACATTTTCATTCAGAGTTTGATCTTTTAAACAGTGTTTCTCTTTACCATTGTGATACAGCCCATAAAATAAGCGAGATTTTTCAATTAGAGACGCATCTCATGGGTACAGAGCTGAAAGAAGAAGAAATTAGGCTAAAAGAAAAAAAANGTTAGGCTGAAGAGTGCTGAGAGCCGCGAGGACGAAGAGTTCAGGGAAGCAGAGCGTCGAGCAGAATTAGAACTGGACAGTGAGCTGGTCATTCATGATAATGAAGCGGCACCGGCGGCTAAAGAGAATGAGGTAAAGTTGCTTTTCCTTTTAAAAAGAGCACAAAACTCCAATGCTGTCAACAACACAGTACCAAATTTAATCAACAATTTCAAAATCACATTTCTATTTTGAATTTGCTCTCTTAAACAGGGTTTTCCTATAGCATGGTTTCCTTTCCCGTAGAACGAGCGAGCGTTCCAACTGGAAACGCCTCTTCTGAAAACAGAGCTAAAAGAAAAAGGAATTAGAAAAATTAAGCCTAAATAGACTCTTTCGAGAAATGTTAGTTCAAAAGCTAAAGGACAAAGCATTAGGCAGAGATCGGCGCAGCTAAAACCTAGAACCTATCCGGCTCATTTTGGGCTAAAGCCGAAATTTGGACTACTCACTGCTGGTCCTCAGAAATTCATAGAAGGGTCTTCATATGTGCCTGGGTGTTTACGGGATGGGAGTGAAATATGCATGAGCTAGATGGGCTGCTGATGATTTCTCTTCTACCTGAAATCGTGTTACTTCAGCAACCCTATCTTTTCCCCGAAACCAGTGTGTGTTTAAAGATTCGTGAGCCGTCCTCTAGGATCGACCGTTTTACCAGGAAGGTAACTGCAGGTATAGGGCGGATGGGCGTTTAGAGGCTTCTACAGTCATGGGGGAAGGACGAGCATAACGTGACTTCCCACTCTTTGGTAATCTTGAAAGATGTCTGCAACCAATTGCTTTTTGTCAAATAAATCGCTATTAACTTAATATCGAAACACTTCAATCGCAACAAATGGGAACCATTTCTGGTTCCCAAGAAGTAGGATTGCTCAATAATCCCATTTCTTGATTTGCCCATGTATTTAAGATTGTTTGGTTTCAGAGAGATCTGCAGACACCAAAGGAGGTATTACAAGAAGTCCAACCCACCGCTCCTTCACCTACCATTGGGGGCCCAAAAAAGGTTCAGTCTATTCACTTTTCATGGATTTTTTGACATTTATTACTAGTGTTTCCAAATGCCATTACTTCTTTACTTTTACTTTCCCGTGACAGTCGTTAGACAATCTAACTTTCAGGATAACGAGAAGACTGGTATTCAGAAACCGACAAGTCGGCTAGTGCGGCCACAGAATCGAGTCATCCATACGTAAGTTCCTCTCTCATCATACTTTTCATTCTGCAAAGCAAAGAGCTCGAGAGAATCGCTAGATCCATTGGGATGCAATATGTCCTTGTGATTTGAGCGGTGTTTCCCACGAGAAAAAAGTAAAACAGGCGATACCACGCCCGACCTATTGTGCTCTCAAGTACGCCGATTTTTCGATCTTTTCGAAGTGGAACACGGGGATTCATGCGTACGTATTGATCCCATGAGTATCAAATAACTCACTGGACTCCTCATACTACGAAACTATGCTAGGTCCAGCGCATCGACTATTTATTTGTTATAACATCTACTATCGTTAGGAATAAAAACCGAGCGGAGTTGGGACTTTCAATCGGACTTTCACCTCAACCTTTCCATGTCAATTTTTTGTAGTCAATTCCAATTTGTCCATGGATCTATAGCTCAATGGCATAAGGCGAACAAAAAAATGTACTCACCAGTTCGAGCTTTCTGACAGATGATGTTTTTTCAGTTCTCCTCAGAGTGGTGGTGTTCCCGCCAGAGCTCAGTCGGCTGCGAGACCAAGGTAGGTGCTAAGCACTCTTTCTTGAATTCACCCAAACAACTTATATTCAAAATAATTCATGTTTTTTGTATTCCTGCTTACATCATGAGAAGGGCCAAGCAAAGAGCACTGGTAGACCCACAGGTGATCCAATCCAGTGGAAGCGAGACAAGGGGATGAGGCGCCGATGCTACGCATACACGCCTTGTAAGGTTTGAAGCACTCTCGAGCCCAGCAGACCTAAACACCGAAAGGTTGGAGAAAAGTGAAGCGCTCACCAGAGTAGCATTCCTGGATCGGAAGAGTAAGAAAGAGGGTCCATAGACGGGTCCGGAATTTCGAACAACTGTATCCATAAGGGCAGCGAGGGTGCCGGTGAAAAGTCCCAGACTGAAGGAACTAGAGTGCCTTTGTAGTACTTCACTTCATCAATGATTGAAGCTGCGTGAACTTCCTAAGGAAATTACAGCATAAGAACTTCACACATAGTAGTTTGAGTAAAGTGGGAGGTGGGCCAGAAATCCAGAAAGCATAACGACGGCTATCATGGCCAATTATCTCCCCCCAAAGCCCTCGAGGCCTGCATGCACATGGTTCAGCCCACTTGCAACCAATTCACTCCCATCAGTTTTCTGCCCAAAATCTCGCTGTCATTCATTTCTTCTGAAATCGTAAAATTGTCCAGTGCGCCTGCTCTACATAATGACTTGAAAATCGTTACAATTCAGCAGTCGAAATTTCGAGTTCTCTCTCTTTCAAACGCTCGTTACATTCCTAATCACAATATGGGAAGGTATATGTTCCGTTCAGGTTATTCGCATATGCTATTTTACAATCGTGAAGAAGTGTGTCTATTGAAGTTGAATGGCATTCATCACTTAAGGGCTCGGCTACGGCATTTCTTGTAGATTTTTTGCTGGGTGAATGTCGTAGATAATCACTCTAATGGATACTGCGAAGCCCACAGGACAACTCCTCCGAAAAGGCAATGGGATCGGAAGCGGACCGAGAACCAGCACCAGGGGGAGTCCCAAAGAAGAGATGGGGGCCGTGATTAAGAAGAACCTCTTCCAAACCAAGGTAACAGCAGAACATGCTGTAGTTTGAAAGAAGAGGCGACAACTCACGAGAAAGAGGACAGGGAAGAGGACAGGGACCCTGCGACTGAGTGGGATTAATGCAAGGGCGAAGAAGAATCACTCTAACGGATTTGAGACATTTGAGCTTCCAAACAGGAGGTGCACATGAATCGTCGTCTAGCCCACTGCATCCACCATCCATCCATCTCACAATCAGTCTGGCTCATTCCCATCGGTTTTGTCCTCGAGGTCGCGGAAGCTAGTAAACGTTGCATTTAAACGGCTTTTTTGACACTTCGTCTAGGGAAAGGTTGAACGTCGTCAGAGTTGCCCTTTGATAAAGGTGAGTATCGATCTCGTACTTCTACTCCGTAAACCATAGAATATCCATGCTTTGTTATCGACCACTGCTGCTGCTGCTCGTCGTCCAAGCACAATGAGACACCAGCGACACTACTACTACTTCTACCCAACCAATTATCACACCCTATGCTTGCAGATTAGAGGGGCCTTGAACCCTTCTGCTAACCTTTTTCAGCCTTTCTTGGGCTGATGAGCCTGTCCAGCTGCTTTGCAACAGAACGATATGTATGAAGATCCATATCAGTACTTGCGAAGCCTATTCACCAAACTTTCCCAAAACTACCCTTTGAGTCCTCTGAACTCCATAATGACCTGCAGTAGCCAGCCGATGTACAAGGCAATGCTTTTATCCTCCGAGACGTCTCTAGTACCGATTAGCCGACTCGGAATGATGGAAGGCTGGACTAGGCGGGATCCGGGATTTGATCTCGTGGCCATGCGTGTGTGGTAGTGCGCAACTTGCCACTAATCCACCTTCGCCTCAAGATTACTTACATGTTGATAAAATTGCTGAAATCAAAGTTCCTAGTAGCGATTACGATGCAAGTCGGATGGATCCTAGTCAGCCTGAAGAAATCATATTGCAGAGCCCTCTTTCTCTTCATCCTAGCCAACTCAGACCTCTTCCATCGGTCCCACTTTCGAGCCATTATCGCTCTTGACGATTTCACCATTCAAATCTTCGTTACTCAGTAGCACTGCTCAAAGCCCCTGAATCCACAATAAATATTGCTCTGCACAAAGTGCCTCTGAATCACTCCACGACCTATCATTAATCTTTTCCTCGTTCAGAAGGGCTATCGGAAGCTGTTGCGTTCTGTCACTCATACCCATTCTACTTCCTATATAGCGATATTCCATCTACCTGAATAAACCAAAATTTTTCACAAAAACCTGTTTACATATAGTGCTAATTCGGTGACTACCTAAATTCTCTCTTCAGGCATTCGAGAATTTTAGTGTCACCATTCCACGCCACGCCTGTAGGCCTCTTGTAATTTATTTCTTCCAGTTCTTTTCGGAACTGGTCGGGCGGCAAAAGCCCAAGTCAAAGTTAAAGGATAAAGTATGCTGGCGGAAATCAACCTTTTCATCCCGTTTGGGATGGGCTTCGTATTCGTCCTCCATTCAAAATCGTAGTGGCTAATTGAAAGCGCATTTGGTGTGGTTCAAACGAATGCTTGACGTGACCGCCCGATATACAAGCCAGTGCTTTTATTCTCCCAGGCAAGCCTGATATAAAATAAAGGACTGCGCAGAAATGAAAGGTTGGACCATCCGGGCATCATCCAGGATTCGAACATGTGACCGTGGGTGTGTGATATGGCGCCGCTTGCCACTACGTCACGTCCGCTCTCGAAGGCGCGGCCCACAATAGAAATGGTTTCTGAGATTCCCTTCTAGGATAAACGTGTTATCCCCAAGGATAACACAGGGGACGCTGTGAGATAAGAAAACGGTCCATACTGGTCTAATAAAGGTCGCAAAACCGGCTCAGTCGATGGACGCGCCCAAAAGCGGACGAGTTTTTACGGCCTTATGAAACACATATCTGGCGCCTCTGTCACTACAATCTGTCACTACATAATTTGTATAACTTCTTCTAATAATCGCCCTTTTTTCTTTTGTCGATCAAGTGAGCTCGATCATGGGTAAGTGCATCATGATTTTACAGTTCCGCAATGCCAAAACCAACTGCGCACACAGCGGCTGTCCGATCGCTCCGACCGCCAGCTCCTCGACCGGTGGCTAAAAGCCCCTCCAAGGAACAGCTGATCAAGAAGCCTGCACCACGAACTCAATCGCAGCCCCGACCGCCGAAAGTAGAAGGTAATCGTTGATATTGGCTAGTTGTCACCTAAAAGAAATGCTAAATGGTGGTGAGATATAAGACAGCTAAAGCTTTGTATTTACTTTTTTCACATCACTGATTTCACCTGAGATAACCTTCTATGAAATATATTAGGTGTGTGCCGCCGCTGAATTTCAAGGGCCATTGCGCGAACCATGTTAGAGGTTTACCGGTGAAACCTGTCATG